GGAAGAATACGACTAGAAAAGGAAACGTCTAGATGAAGGATAAATTGTAAACCAGAAAAAAAGGCAATCGCAAATTAGATGAATAAGTTTCGGAAATAAAGCGCAGATAGTCTAAGTAAGTGTGGTCTGCTCGAAGAAAAAAATAAAACTTTGAGGGCCTGATGGTTACGTAACCAGAGAGACGGGTATTCAGCCATCACAGAAATTCGAAATTATGGCTAAATTGACTAATAAGCCGCTCGAGACATAACAAGCGACCAGAAATAGATATCCAAAGTTTACACAGGGTACATGGATTTAATCAAGACGAAGCGTGAGGGCAGTGCCTGATATTCGCAAGCATGGGGATCAGAGCCTAGGCGGTCCGTAGGTGGGGCGACATTGTACGTGCTACTGAAAGCTTGAGAAATAGCGTCTGGAGTAAATAGTACAATAGGGCTTGAACTGAGTGAAATCTGTCAACTAGAAAGATAAGAAACAGATCTATGAGAATCTAGACACATAAAAACTACACTCAAACTCGAATATCAAACCTTGTTAGTTAAAACATGAATTTGCATCTAAACACATATAGCATAGAAGCACTGAGCCGATAGTTTATTTGCAAGATATTTTTGTCCAAAAAGGCACAATTAATCAAATTATAGAGGGCTTGGAGGTCAGCAAATGACAGTTTACAAGGTCATCTTAAAGAAAATAATTGTTCTATGCGTTATGGGTGACATTATAGTTTTTTATAGTGAAAAGCATTGAATAAAATAAGGGGAATAAAAACGAAATAATCAAGGGGATGAAACTAGTCTCTAAATTGCCTAGTCACTAAGCTCAAAAATGGTTCATACGCGTAAAGAATAAGGTCAGGATTAAAAGTTTTGTTCCTAATGAGCTCGCAATAATTAAATATACAAATAGGACAAAGGAAGTAAAAAATACATTTGGATATGCGATAGAGTAAGATTGAAATTGACAGAAATATAAAATAAGGTAGAAAGATGTATAGGGAAATAAGGAGCAAGATTAAATTGGTTACAAATAAGTGATGGCTTACGTCTATACTCATGCCTTCAACGAAACATTCCCACCATCTTTCCCCTTGCCGCCTTCCATCCCAATCTTCTATAGTGAATTTATTCATTCGTGTTACAAGATATAAGACTGCGCAAGCAACTATCTCGGGTTCCCACTGCAAGCAAAGTGTTGTTGCCAAACTATCATTAATAAAAGACCACGCCATTTGTACAAGCTCTTTGTGGCGCTCAGTATTGTCTAAAATATAGGAAAAATAGTATTTATAAAGAAAGATTAAAAGTAAAGTAAATAATTACATACCCAAAAATAAGATAACGCAATATGGCAAAAAATCATCGTACTTTTAATTCTTTTGACATATTGAAGCAGAAATTTGTAGGGGTGCGACACTTGAAAATCGAATTTTATTGTTTTAAGCAATACGCGTTCATAGGCCATAATTTCTTCCTAAAAGCGATGAATATATGAATTAGCGTTACTCGAGGATCTTTTCCAAATTGTTCAAAGACTTTTTCTGGCAATAGAGTAATTGCAGCTTTGACTATGTCCCTGCATTTTTTTGGAGTTTCTTCGACTTTACCAGCAAGCATAAGGCAGCAAGAGGCTGTCACCTACACTAAAATAAAGTCAAAGCAATAGTTACAAATCGTGGAAATTGTTTGAAAGAGTGCAACATATAAAAGCGATGAAAAAACACTGTCGCTGTAGCGCAAGTATCATATCGAAGTCGTAATTTATTGCCGAGGTCAAAAATGAATCGAGCACCTTCCTTGCGATAAAGCAGTTCTGTCTCATAATCGACGCCATCTTGAAAAGAGGGAGATTTTAATACTTCCTCTTTTTCGTAATACCAGCATGGCATTTTCTGAAAATAGATTAAATGACAAATAAAGAGAGCGCACTTGGTCTTCCATTCTCCCGCATTTCAATCAAGGGCACTGTAAAATAATTCAAAAAATGAAGTAATGTTTATTCACCTCATTATTAATTTATTTTATCTTTGCATAATAAAATTTAATAAGTTTTTTATTCAAGGAACCTATTTAGTTTATCAAAATATAGCATTTCCCATATAATCTTACACAACACGGAATCCAAAATATATAGTAAATCGAGCAATTTTATAGTTTTTTTGTTCGAAATATGACTATATTAATATTTCTAATTTCAGAGTTATAGGATCTCATCAAAAGAACGAAAAAAAGAGCCTTTAAAAGGGTCTTCGAAACCAGCTTTCCTATTTAATGCCTCTGCATTTTTTTAAATGCAGAGGTAAAGAGAAATTAGAGGAAACTTGAACACAAAATAATGTGAATATCTAAATGGGCTTCATAAAATGGGTTTAAGAAAATGTTATAAGCTCTATAATACGCGGCAAAAAATAAAGCAAGGATTGACGCCAAATTGTTTCGACAGAGAATTTTTCAAGAGTTTTCTCTTTATTAACCACTTTGGCAAGTTGTAACTATGTACAAATTCTTAGGTCTCTCAGATATTAGGCCGAGTGAGATGGCGGCGAAACGTCTTGGGATTTACAGAATC